TCTAAAACTATGGTTTTTGGCCCAAAATCGTGGTTTGCTGATTTCTTTCCCATTTGGCAAATTTTTGACCCAAACCATGGTTTTGACCATCTGCCAAACGGACCCAAGTGTATGTTTGGATTAGCATTTTTGAGCCTAAAACGTGTTTAAACCTGATTCAGTGTCTGTTTGGATTCACTTAAAATCAGCTTAGATTTTAAAATAAGCTGGGTTGCAACATGGACCTGTTTGGCAAAGCTTAAAAGCAATTGGGCTTATGTTAAAAAAGCCTGATAGAACGCCCAATTCCCATAAGCTGCAAGAAGGAGCTTATGCTTAACCCAGAAGAGCTTTTGGCGGAAAAAAAAAAAAGAAAGAGAAATGCTATTGCCCGTTCTGCGATGTCAGGTACTCAGGTCCTTTTTTCCTCTCCCATTTGCCTTTTCCTCTCACAAGCATCATTTTCATTTCTTTTTCACCGAGGAGTCGCACGCCATCTCCGTCGCTGGTCGCCCCGCTAAAGGTCCCTCTCTGGTCGCCGTGAGCTGTGGCCTTGTCATCGTCATGAGCTTCGCGTCGTGGGTGTGAGGTGTCCGTGGTTGGTTGGAGGTGCTTCTTCCTTGCAAGTCCGAGCTAGTCCCGCTATCTGCAACCGAGGTCGTCGCCGTCTGCCTGTGGTTTTGAGCTGTGCGTGGAGATCTTGTCTTGCCAGTCTGATACACCGTGGGATCTATCTCTGGCTGCCTTCGATTTGATTGATCTGTTACAGGTTGGGCAGTAAATTTTTTTCTTTCCTTTCTGGTTTGATTCTTGCTTGAATTTGCTGTTGCCGGTGGAAGTCAAGAGTTCTCTATCGCCGCTGTTCAGTTTATTATTTTTTCCGTCTGGTTTGTTGTGGTGCTCTGTTTCTGGCCGGTGGTTGTTTTTATTTTGTTTCCTTCTGGTTTTTTCATGGTCGCCAGCCTCTGTTCGCCAGTGGTGTGATGTTTTTCTCATCACCGTCGTGGTTTTTTGTGGTCCTCTGTTCCTGTTGGCTGGTGGATCTTTTTATTTTTTGCCTTCTGGTTTTCTGACGTCGCGTGGCTCTGCTTGCTGGTGGTTTTAGGTGAATTAACGACTGTCTGTTGGAGCAGAACGTAGAGCTTGTGATGATCATTCTGGATATGTCATTGTGTACATGCATATGAGCTTGTGTATATGTGTATATCAGAGTGTTACACTGATCATTCGGTTGCAATGGTGTTGGAATTTTGAAAGAAATAGATTGAAGTGTATATCAGAGTGTTACACTGATCATTCAGTGGTTTTATGTGAAATAGATTGAAGAAAGTAATTTGATAACAATTTTTTAGTCCTTATAATGTTGGTTTTTAATAACGTAATTAACTACTGAATTGTCTTCCCTAATTAAATTTCTATTAATTAAGTTTCTGTTAAAATATGGCAGTTCTAATTCAAAGATGAACAATTTTTTTCAAACAATAAGAAAAACAATTGATTAATTGAGTTTTGAAAAAATTTTCACAACCTGTTACCACTGATTAAATGTTTGTAGTTTAAGAAATTTTTGAATAAGAAAGCAAAACAGTTTTTGCAATTATAATGTGTTAATTAATATTTGACGACTTCATAATAATAATTGGAGTTTTGATAACAAATGCATTTACAATAATATTAAGAAAATAGTATATATGTTTGTTTGGTGATTACATAATGTGGCTTTCATTATTACATATTTAGGATTTTGGTTGATTCAATTAGTTTTGTTTCCATCAAAAGGATAAAGAAATGGACAATGATAAGGGAAAAGCGACATGGGATCCTTACACGACAAAGATTCTAATCGATGTTTGTGCCGAGCAAATAGTGCACAAGGAACGACAAAAAACATCATTTACAAGGCCCGGTTGGGGAAAAATTGAAAAGAACTTTCAAGAAAGGAGCGGGAGAATGTATGACAAGAGGCAATTGAAGAATAGATGTGATATATTGTGAAAAGATTGGAAATTGTGGGATAAACTGATGTCTGGAGAGACTGAGATTGGTTATGATATAGCCACAAATAGGATTTTGGCCTCCGATGAGTGGTGGCAACGAAAATTACTAGTAATTATTTCCGTTGGTTGAGTTTTAATTTTGAATATCCATTACGAATTTGTTTAATTTTGCCTAATTATGTTAATGTAATGTAGGTTGACCCTAATTTCAAGAAATTTAGATATCAGGGGTTGATGTTTGCATCAGAGCTGCAGAAAATATTCAAAGATGTTGTGGCTTCGGGAGACTATATGTACGCACCATCAACCTCACAGCCCCAGTCGACACCTGTGACACAGGCTGGTACAAAAGAGGAGGAGGATGTTATAGAGTTGGCCTGGACCAACAGGAAGGGTTAAGGGACAGTGAAGATGAAAATTCTGGAGTTGACCCAATAACCAATGCAGGATTCACCGATGACTTTGCTGGTTGCAACTTAAACACCCCCGCGAGTACTGGACCAAGTGGCTCAGGAAGCTATGGAAAGAGGAAGAGAGGTGAGACGTTTGATGTAAAGAAGAAGAAAAAAGTTGCCGCATCTACTAAAATTTTTGATAGCCTTAGTGTTATAGCAGCTGCTTCTGACAAGCGAGCAGCAGCACTGGTTGAAGATCCCCAAGTAGTTGACAAGGTTTTAGCACACCTGACTACCGTTAAGGAGCTTAATGGTGACAATTAACTATATTATGCATGTGCCAAGATGCTTACGCGGTTGAGGTGGGCTAGGCGAGCCTATTTGGGGTTTATGCATGATAGAAGCAAGTTGTTGGCATGGTTAATACCGGCAGCACAAGATCCAGACACATGGAAGTGACCTCTAGAATAGGATTTAGTTGTTGCACTTGTTAACTTGAAATGTTTGCTGTTTGAACCTGAACTGATGTGACTTGTTGTAGGAACTTTAATAATGACTATGTAATATATTTATGCTAATTTCTAATTGTCATCTATGTGTTTGGTTTTTCTGTTTGCAGTATGAAAATTATTTACATGGGGTTTAGTGTAGTCCTTATAATGCTTACACTTTGTTGTTATTATAGTTACAGGGTTAACTCCAGAAATGGCTAATTGGAATGATGATTCACTGTGGAATGAAGATACTTTGAGGGATTGGAATGATGATTCACAGTGGAATGAAGATGACCATTCAAGACGGTTATCCATGATTAATGAGGAATTAACACAATATGAAGCAGTAGGTGCATTGGTTGGTCATTACTGTGAAATGTATATGTTTAAACAACCCTGTAGAACTAGTGAGCAAACAGGAAATTTATGGATACAAGGCATTATGAATGGGCATGATGATCGATGTCCTGAAATGTTTAGAGTGGATAAACATGTTTTCCACCTCTTATGTACTAAATTGGAGGAATATGGTTTGCGAAAGTCTAAGTACGTAGGAATTGAAGAAATGATCGCGATGTTTTTAAATACGATTGCACATGGACAATGTAATAGGATGATCTAGGAACGATTTCAACGTTCAAGGGAAACTATAAGTAGGCACTTTCACAATGTACTACAAGCTTGCCATAGCCTATCAAGTGAACTTATTCGACCCGTAGATCCTACATTTCGTGGAACTCATAGAAAAATTGAGAATGATCCACGTTATTATCCATTTTTTAAGGACGCAATCGGAGCAATTGATGGTACTCACATACCGTGTGTTGTCCCCGCTGCAAAACGAGATAAATTTATTGGCAGAAAAGGAAATCCATCACAAAATGTCATGGCTGTATGTGATTGGGATATGTGTTTCGCTTTTGTCTTGGCAGGATGGGAGGGATTTGCACATGATGCTCGTATATTTGACAGCGCTATTATAAATTCATCTCTAAATTTCCCTCATCCACCTCCAAGTATATGTTTATATGTTCCAATCATGCACGTTTTTAATTATTTCATATTTTCATTCATTTCATAACGTCTGAAATTGTTTCATGAATCGTTAGGGAAATATTACTTGGTTGATGCGGGATATCCAACACCAAATGGATATCTAGGTCCATACAGATCTGAGCGCTACCACCTTCCGGACTTCCGACGACAAGTAGGATTCCGAAATAGTAACGAAGCCTTCAATTATTATCATTCCAGTTTAAGGTGCACAATAGAAAGAACATTCGGTGTCTGGAAGAATAGATTTCAAATACTACGAAATATGTGCAGTTACGACCTCCAAACACAAGTGTACTTGGTTTGTGCAACAATGGCCATTCATAACCTTATAAGGAGACATTCAAGCTCTGACTTCTATTTTCAACAAGCTGAAGATGGTAATGTAATTGGCGAACATGATCAGACTGAAGCTAGTCAACCATCACCTTCAAATGTCAATTCACAGTCTTCATCTCATATGAATCGCGTCCGTGATGCAATCAGAGACCAAATTATCCATAGCTTATCAATTAATTAATTATGTAATATTATTATTTCATTTTACTTTGTCGCAATACTACTAATTGGAGTTCAAAACAGTTTTATCCGTTCAAATTATGTTTTGCTTTTATTTGCCTAATTTTTTTTTCCATTTCTCTACTGTTTTCAAATTTAATTCGCTTAATCAATTTCACCTATTCATATTAAATTAATTTAAATTCATTGTCTTATGTCAATTCAATTTTTTATTATGTTTCACTTTATATATAAAATATTTTTTATGATTTCTCTAAATTTTTCAATTTTAATTCACTCTAAATTTCACCTCTTCATTATATTATCTCAATTCTTTTTTTTTCATGTTTCATTTATATTTCAAATATTTTTTTATTCTTTAAAAATTTTATAATTTAATCCACTCATTAAATTTTATTTCTTCATATTATTTTATTTTTATTTTATTGTATTGTCTTAAGTCAATTTTTCATCATGTTTCATTATTTATTAAAACTCATGCCCATTTTGGTAATTTTTCAGCCAAACTTACTTTTACTCAATTATAATCCAAACAAGCTTTTACCAATCTCATTTTTGTAAACTAGCTTGTCTGAACTTCAATCTAAACACAATTCAGCTTATCCAATTTAATTTTTACCAACTTCATTTTTTTATAAACTATTTTTCCTATAAACTGCTTTTTCAATCACTGATCTAAACGAGCCCTCAATCTTACTTATAGTTGAAGTCCCTTGTTTGGACAAACTTTCAGCTTATTTAGCTTTTAAGTCAAAAGCCAACGAAAAGCATGACAGGGAAGCGATATTTACAACTCATGGATTCGTGCGTTTGCTTTGACAACTAGAAACATTTACTGCAAATTTAATACCAAATTTGCCCTCTGGCTATTGTCCTTCGTACATTGATTTTGTGCATTTTCAAATTCTGTCGTAACAAAATTTTCTAAAAAATTATCATATGATAAATATGTTTTTTTATTGACGGTTTTTTAATATCTTACCATATGTAAACGTAATATACACACACTTATACGTGAGCATATGTATTACTCCCTCCTATTCCTATTATAAGAAATATTTTTATGAAGTTTATAAGAAGTTTTGATAGTTTTAATGAGCATTAGATTTTTTTTTTTTGCATATATGCCCATGTTTAATAAGGACAACGAGAGATTAGTAATTAATAAAATTTATGTCTTTTTTTGTCATTTTACAACTCAACTTACTTTTTTAATAGTAATCCAAATAGCTTCTACTTTTACAAATTGATTTATTTGTAAAAATTCATCTAAACATAGATCACATTATTCAATCTAACTTTTACTCAATCTAACATTTTCAAAATTCAAACGAAAATAAGTTATTTTTTCTACTACTAATCTAACCGGGCTCTAAAAATTTGTGAATACTCCCTTGGATCTATAAGACTTTGGTTAAGTTTTATCACATATCAAGAAATGTTGGTTATAAGTATATTTTATGCAAGTCAAAATAAAACTCCTCTGATATACTCCTCTCATATTTTATAAATTATAATTGAAAGACTGTTTATAAGTCATTTCAAACAGGCCCTAAATGTGTTTCAAATTGATAGAAGTTACCTGTTTTACTTTTATTCAAGAATGTCATAGGAAAATTCAATCCTATCTCTTCTCTTTATAACAAGGGGTAAAAGTGAAAAATTATTATTAATTACTTTGCCAACATCTTATATTTTGAACCAAAATTTTTTTCTAATTTTTTATATATTATGAATTGGAGGGAGTACCTGTCAAAGTATAGGTATTAACGGCACCCCACCTTCTCTATTTATTTCCTAAACTCATAAAAAGGTACTGTGTCATTTCATTGTAATTTCAAAATTTTATTTTAGATTATACTACTTCCGGTTCTAATTATAAGAGCCAATTGACTAATTTGAGGAGATTAAGAAAGTAAGTTGAGTTAGTTATTTGTCCTAAATAAGTATTGTCTTTCCTAAAATATCTTGTAATCAAGTGTATTGATTAGAACTATCATTGTTAAAAAGGATACTTTGGAAAAAAAATATAAACATGAGAGACAAGGTGGATTGATGTCTTATATTTAGGACTAAAATAAAAATCAAACAGAGTCTTATATTAAGGACGGGAGGCAGTAACATTTTTCTAAAATTATGCATATGGATGCGCTCTTTTCAGAATATATCAATTTCAAAGTTCTTGATGCATCATTTTCCCAAAACAAAAAGGCTCTACGTATGTTAGTGTGGATATGGAAACGAATTTTCCGCGGCAGTGTGGCTCCTGCCCCATGTGTCCCTGGCCCTCTAGGACAAAATCGTGCCGCTCGCAGATCACAATGCCGCGTTCAAATTTCTTGTGCGGTTGTAAGATACTCATGAACTTTTTTCAGACTTGTATTTGGCACCATAAATAAATATTGAGTGAAAAAAAGTACATAAAATTTTAAAATATTGCAAAATGTTATGATGGTTAACTATTTCAATATTAATTGTTTGTTTGACTAAAGACGGTGATGTCAATGCTGATATAATTTAGAGGGTTTCATAGAAAAAGAATGACTACGGTTCATTTACATCTAATTGAATTAAATGTAATTGAATTAAAAAAAAATACATAGTTATGGTTCATTTACATCTAATGGAATTAAAATGAGTATGAGTAAAGGGCCTGACAAATACAAACATAATAAATATACCTACTAACTTGTCTTAAATTTGCGCATGATATCATAAACAAACTTTCGGTGTAAAAATATCTATGATCATTTTAAAAAAAACCCTAAAATGTTATAGTCATTTAATTTATCAAAGATGATCATTTTATTCAAACTTCTGATTAAATAAAGTGATGTGAACACTAAATTGGTGTTTTAGTCTCTTTCCTTCAAATGCAACTCATTTCTCCTCGCAAACGATTGCATTTTAGTCTTTCTATGATTCTAATGACGTTCTCTCCTCACTATCAAACCTCTATCAAAGAGAAGAAGACAGGCTAAAGCTCTCCATAGCACTCACTCTTTCATTTCATCTATCTTACTCTCTCTTCTTAATTGCTTTAAGATGAATAACACTACTCTCTCAGCTCCACTCTAGTCTTTATCAATGAGTAACTAGAGGAGATGTGATGGGAGTAACTAAGATATAGCATTGGTCTTCTTAAAAAAGAGAGATTGAGAAAGACGAAATGAAAGAGTAAGTATGATGGAGAGTTTAACTTGTCTTCTCTTCAACGGAGATGAGATAGTAAGGAGAGAACGTCATTGAAATCAGAGAGAGATTGAAATATGATTATTTGCAAGGAGGAGGGAGTTGTACTTAATAGAGGGGAATTGAAATGCCAGCTTAGTGTCTATTTTCCCTTATTTGGTCAAAAATTTGAATTACACAATCAACTTTGATGAATTAAATGATTGTACTATTTTACGTTTTTTTTTTTGGAATGATCATGTATATCTTTGCATCCATAATTTGTTTATGATGGCAGCTACAGGTTTAGAAAAAGTTCATAAATATATGTTCATCTTCACGCTTTTTATTTTTATCAAACCTTCCAAGCTACATCAATGTTCATGTTATCGTTTTCAATCAAATAAACAATCAACATTGCAATAGTTAATGGTCATGGCATTTTCGTAACTTTTTTGAAAATTTTATGTATATTTTTACATCCAATGTTTGTTTATGAAGCCATGCGTACATTTGAAAAAAGTTCATAAATATATTTATACCTTAACCCTTAATAAAAAAGTTTTAATGACAAGTAAGCGGGTCAATCTTCTTGTCATTCACTCATTTCCTCCTGGAACTTGTCATTTATTAGTCATAGAATGTTTTAGTAATTATATTCATTTCTTGAGACCTCATAGTGATTTTTTATGTAAAAATTAATATTCAAATTTTTAACCACTTGATTGAAAGTCTTATTATTATTATTTTAATTCATTTATTTAACCATACAAATTAGTCCCAACTTAATTTTTTCCTCGGCACGGAGTTCGGAACCTCCAAATTAAATCCCCGTATATTTACCATGAATGCTAAATTTGTTGGTCTAACTTAATTTTTGTTGCATGCATGGATGTGTGTTAAAAAATATTTACAATTTTCAATCCAAAACTACTTTCACATTGTTTGTTATCAAAATGTTAACCAAAATCAATTGATCTCCAATCAGACACAATTAAATTTTTATATCAAGTTAATTTGGAAAAAAATTTATTAGATGTACATAATCATCCGATAAAAAATTAATATAAAATAGGGACAATGACACAAAAATAGTATTTGAACTTGGAAATACCAAAATGGTTACTTGAATTTACAAAATCCCAATTTAGTCACAAGTGACCAATTTGACGTTTATAAATTTGCTAAAATAACCATATTGCCCTTTATTTTATTTATTGTTTTTTAAAAAACCAAAGCCCTCACTGGCCGGCCGTTCATTGGAGTTTTGGTACCGGCTGTGGCGGCCGTCCCAGGAGCTCCGGCGACCGGCCGACAATTGGTCACCAGAGCTTTGGTAGCCGAAAATAATTTTTTTAAAATTTTTTACAATTTCAGTATAACGGTTAACAACTTTTGTGACGTTATTAACAATTTCAGTACAGCAGTTCCGGCCACCAGAGCTCCAGCAACCAATTTTTAGCCTGTTGCCAAAGCTCCAAGTACGGCCGTCGTGGGCACCAGAGCTCCGACAACTGGACAGCCCATGGGTTTTAGTTTTTTAAAAAACAATAAATAAAATGAAGGGTAATATGGTCATTTTAGTAAATTTATAAATGTCAAATTGGTCACTTGTGACTAAATTGGGATTTTGCAAATTTAAGGGACCATTTTCGCATTTCGAAGTTCAAGTATTATTTTTGTGTGATTTTCCCTATAAAATACATAATTTAGAATAACTAGCATCATTAACAAATTTTAAATAATGCTCCTCAGGTCCTCATCCGTTCTAACTTGGATATGATATGTTGATCATTTATGTGAATAATATCTTTGATAATTTATAATCTTGAAAATGACTGATGATGACTTCTCTAATGACAACCAGTGCTTTTGCCAACTAGCATTCTCACCAACTGTGACAATTATACAATGTTAGATTGACTTTCCAACTCATGTTAATAATGAGGCCAAAAATTAAAAAGATGTAAGGGAAAAAAATTAGAATAAAATTGACTTTGTAGTAAAATTACCTAAATACTCGTAATTTAAAATTGAAAAAAATATAAAGTATAAAAAAAATTTAATTGGTAATAAATTTATCTCATTACGGTAACATCTAATATAGTGACAATTGATTTTACAAAAACGTTCTTACTGAAATATCACTGACAATAAAAATGTAAGGAAAAACAATTATAACTTATTAAATGGCAATAACAATTAAAATAGGGACAACTAATTTTATAGAAAGTAATTAGGTCAGTTACACAAATCTTAATTTTAAAATAGTCTTTAAGGATTTTATAAAAAAATTAATCTATTTGGAGAGGTTATTTTCTGATTCGCATATTTGGGTGGTTTTTTTGTATCTTTCTTAAAAAAGAAAAAAAAAAATCTCACTTATAATGCCTCCTAGCTCCTTTGCCCTATCCCAATAATTGCTGGAAATCTTTTCCCATTTAATTTCATGTTATATAGTATTCTTCTTGTTCTAAATATAAAATCCTTATATACATTATATAAAGGTTTTATATTTATGATCGGATGAGTATCTGAATCTGATAAAGTTTTGTATCAAAAAAAAATATCTTCAAATGAATTCATTTTTATGGGACAAATATTTGTTTGCATATGAAGATATTATTCAAACTTTTAATGTTAGATTTTTGAACCCTATTCGCGCACAGTCCTCATTAATTATACGTATACATACAATATTCTTAAACATATAGACTGATCAATGATTCATATAAATATCTTCGTTTTTTGTGGTTGAAATATATCTAGAGATCAAATTCTATAATGTATTGTGATCTTATGGCTTTTTGGTTCAATAATCAATACAATGCTTTAAAAAAAAAAAACAATCAAAACAAGGTTATGTTCTCTGCCCCTTCATTTCCTTTACACTTAACTTTTTTCTGTACGGATAGGTGTAACGATATTGAGTAAATAATCATCAAGAAAATCTAACTTAAAGTCTATTAAATTTTTACTAAATAGTGTGTGTGTGTGTGTGTGTGGTACATTTAGAGTGAAACGAAAAATTACAAAATGAAAGAAATAGAGAAAAATGAAATTATAGGTATATTGATGAACTCTGAATTATACTTATAATCACATTTTTTGGAGGAGCAAAGCCTACTACATAAACTTACATATTTAATAATGAACTTCTTTTCTAATAAAAAAACAGATCCCAAGTGAATTTTAAATTTAAAAAATCGAAACTTTTATTAAGAGGGGTGAAATGCAAGATAAATCAGGGATTAATGATACATATAACCCACTTTGACCCAAAAAAGAACTTTAAATATAAGTTTAATTACTACTTCATGTTCTAAACATAAAATTTAGTTTGTAGTGTAATTAGATGGATCTATACAAACAAATACATTAACATCGATTCAAACTCAAGATTTCACTAAGATCCCGTTTGTCATCACGATTGAAATCACTTACAAACACGTTTCTCGTAAGTTGAGGCAAAACTCCTCTAATATATTTATTCTATATTCCGTAAATCACGATTAAAAGGTTACTTATAAGTTATTCTAAACGGATCCTAAATATAATGAGTAGCGTTATTCTAAGAATAGCTCGCTAATACTCAACATATCCTTAATGTGAATTTTTTCTTAAAAGGACTAACTTTTTTTTTGGTAAAAAAAAAAGGCTAACTTCTTGTTAGACAACCAAAAGTAACTTTTTTTTTGACAAAACAGAAGTTTACAATTTATTTATATATATTTTTCATTATTTGGCTCTATAACATTAACTTTTTATTATTATTCAAAATAATCATTTTTCTGAAGATTTCAGACTAAAATCATACTTTAATGAATCTATTAACAATATCTTTTTTATGTTTCTCTCAAACAAGAGGGACTTTGATTCCCTCAATTGAGCTTTCTTAATTGAAATATATTAACAATCTGTCAGATTGTATAATAGTAATAACGATTAAAAAATGTGAACAAAAAGGGATTAAGAAATTAAAAATCGAGTCAATTTAAAAAAAAACCATAAAAAATTATCTTTTTAAGAAAAAGGAGGAGTCATCCATCAATTTCCCTCATGGACCGTCGATAATTTTTTCTCACACAACAAATCTTTTCCGTCGATATAATTTTATGCAATTTAGTTTAAATGCTCAAATAATTCAAAAAATAATTTTAGTCAGCAAAGTATATATTTTATTGTAAAGAGTATATATTTTATAAAATTCGTTGCTATAATCAAGGGAAAATCATAAATAAAGATCATGAAATTTGAAAAATTACAAACAAAGACCTGTTTATCAAAATTATTGTCAAAACTTATACTATTATTGTTAAAATCCATAATTACTTTGTAACAGGTCTATATTTGTAATTGTTCATATTCCGCAGTTTTCATTTGTGATGTTCCCTATAATCAATGCAAGAGGCTATAATTTTTTAAGGACACAAATGACATTGTTTCTTTTTTATGTGGTTGTTAAAGAAATTTTATATCCTTACACGTGTCACCGCGTGGATTAGGGCCCATACACACATTCGAGTCACGTTTTCCGCGAGGAACACTGTATGGATAAAATTGCTTCGTACAATCCTCCGCAGAAATTTATGAAAATTATAATATATAAAAACAAAACAAAAAGGGAAAGCAAAAAGAGTAATAACAACAATAATAATAAAGTGTGAGCAAAGTCATACATTCATACTTTTCGGCTGTGAGGACATACTCACATGGTAACTCCCGTAGCCCCAAAAGAAAGGGTACTTCTGCGTTTCTTTTTATGAGCAATTTTAGACTAGATTTAGTAGGTAAAAAAATAATTAAAATTAGTTAAAAATAATAAATATATAAAAACTAAAATTTTTTATAAAATATTTTTATTATAAAAAAGTATAAAAAATTTATTATAATAAAAAGAATTAAAAAAAAGAGAAAATTTGTGATGGAAACAAATTATATTAAAATATAATAACATTTATCATCTAGAAAATGATGTTTTGATAAAATAAATATATTAATTATTAAATAAGTTATTAATAGGAGTAAAATACAAAATTTTATTACAAAAATTTAAGGCAATTTATAAATATTATTTATATTTAAATATAAGAAAGCGATAGTAATTGTTACTTATAAAAAAGAAGGGTAGGAGTAATTCTTTGCTGCTACTAATAATAATAATATCAACAACATTTGGTATAATTAGCATATGGTGAAGTTTCTTTAATACTATATTCGATTTTTAATATAAGAATTAATTTGACTTTTATTTTGATTCTAATTCATTTTATTTTTTATATTTATCCCTTTTTTTTAAGATGGTCTTTGTAGTAATAGTAATTCTAACTAATACACTTAATTAATAAAAGTATTTTAAAAAAGATAATATCTATTTATTACAAATAACTAATTTAACTAATTTTTTTAATTTACTCAAATTAGTTCACTAGCTATTATACTACCTCCGGTCCTAATTATAAGATTTTGTTTGTAGTTTACAAATGATGTCTTATAATTAGAATCAGAGATAGTATTAAGTACTCTTATACTATTTCTAGTCCTTAATATAATATTTTGTTTGAATTTTATTTTGGTTCAAAATATAAAAATCCAATTCATTTTGTCTCTAATATTTATCCATTATTTTTTAAGGTAGTCTTTATAATAATGGTAGTTCTAACCAATATACTTGATTAGTAAAGATATTTTAGAAAAAAAATCTATTTATTACAAATAATTAACTTAACTGATTTTTTTAATTTATTTAAATTAGTAACTAGCTCTTATATTAAAAACTTAGTATTAAGAACATGAGGGTACTACCATAAATTTCCAGGTCAAAAAAAAGGGAAATTATTTCAATATAATTTGCACGTGGCGTATTCACCTACGGTTACCTGCACCCAGCACCCCCATGTGTTCACTTCTGCTTTGCATCTATATAAACCCCATGCTGCTTCAAATATCTCTACAAGCACATAAGTACAATTACACATTCACATTACTCAAATAAACCTTCTTCTTCATTTCTTCGCTCTCGTTTTGCCTTCTCCGTCTGTGCATTGCTCGTCAGAGAGAGAGAGAGTGAGAAGCGTCTGATCTGACGTGAGAGAGGCATGGATCTTCGAGTGGAAGAATTAGTGTCAGCATCATCACCATCACCAGTTTCCGCTTCCAATTCCGAAGCCGTTCCTCTTCCTTTGCTCTCTCTCAACCACGTCTCCTTCGTCTGCAAGAATGTGAGCCAGTCTGTCAAGTTCTATGAGGATGTCCTTGGATTCGTTCTCATCAAGAGGCCTTCTTCCTTCAACTTCGAAGGAGCCTGGTATGTGTGTGAAGAGGAACCTCTCTAATTTGCTCTGTTATTCTGACACTTCTGCAAAATTTTCTGAGTTTTCCTTGTCGTTTCCTCTGGAATCTTCGATTTCGAAATTCTAGAAGCTTCCTCGCAAGCTACCGTTCATGATCTTTGTGCTTTTCTGTTTCAGTGAATTTCTCGCTGTTGTTATGCTGTCATTTGCTCAATGTACTGATTCTTTGTTAGATTTTCTTCCTTTTGGTTGTGGCTTCGATTTGAATCTCGTAAATCTTCAGGATTCTTTGTAAATAGCTTCCACAGGAGCTATTTTATGCAATTTGCGCCTCTCTGTTTCTCTGATTCTTTGTAAATTTAATTATGGCGTCATTCTGAATCCATTGAAAATATCAGTGATCAGCTTCCAAATAGATGACAAAGAAGCCGCTGCTTGTGCAATTCGAGCTTTTCTATCTCTACTATTTTACCTTTTTCTTTTGAGATCAGGCACGGACATTAGCAATTAATCTTCATCTGATGAACCCGGATAAAGTTTTCTGGGCTTTTATTGTGTCTTCGTTCTGAATCTCATAATTTCTTTTAGAGTTCGATATCTGATAACTTCCTGATTAGGTGATGTTTGTGTTGTTTCTGCCATTGTCTAGGTTATTCAACCATGGAATGGGCATACACTTGCTGGAGTCAGACAAGGTTCCTACAAAGAAAGGGAAGATCAACCCTAAAGATAACCACATTTCCTTTCAAACCTCAGATATGCAGCTCATAATGAGGAAGCTGGAGTCAATGAACATAGAGTATGTGACAGCAGTTGTGGAAGATGGTGGAGTTACAGTTGATCAGCTCTTCTTCCATGATCCAGATGGGTACATGATAGAAATATGCAATTGTCACAATCTCCCTGTGCTCCCACTTTCCTCATGCCCTCTCAAGCTACCTAACAACCATGAGAAACATCACCCACCATCTTTCTACGGTGCGTTTCATCTTTGCTGCTCAATGTTGTTGAGATCAAGCGTGATTAAGAATAGGAAAAAGTCCTTGAATAGAATTAGACTTGAAAAGGATAGAAGTGAAATAGATTTGTGATTCTGGTGCTTGTTTTGGGTCTAAAAGTAGAATTGATGAGGGCAAAGACAAACTATAAATATAAATCTTAAAAGAATAAACCATCACTTGAACCAACAGGTTTAGAACTTGTTCTCGTCAAGTAAGGTCTTGAGCTTGAAAAGAATGAAGTAGTGATAAAGATGATATATGAGCCTTCAGTGATGATAATGTTTAATACCTTGCTTTACATGCTGGTTTTTGCAGGTGAGAGGGACCTGAAGATGAGCTGCTCTGCTGAGGTCGTTTCGCTGATGATGGAGAATTTGATTTCAGACATGCTCAAGATCTCAATATGAGAATTTTCAAAACTACATGTACAAAAATTTGTGCAATAGGCCATTACAGTGAGTTGTTTGTGAATGCAAGAGAGTATTTGTAATGTAAGTTGATCACAAAGTGATGTTTTGGTACCAAAAACCAAACCAATCCTAAGAAACTGCAACATCACAATGTCTTCTCTTTTTTTTTTTTTTTTTTTTTAATTTCGTTCCTTCCTTTTTGAATGAACTCCGTGCCCTATCTTTAATTCTCAGTGTTATATGTCGTGCAGTTTGTGAATGAGTATCCAATTACTTTTATTTTAAACCCAGCATTGATGGATTAAGAGTGAAAAGTTCAGAGTTTGTGTAATGTGAAATATGGTGCCCGTACCAATGGCAATTACCGTTCGTTCAAGCTTTTGTGCTTGTTTTTGTTGAGTATTGAATCAGACATTTAGTGGCCGTCTATGTGAAATGAAACGTTGACATTATAATATTTCAAGTGTTGACCTTTAAGAATTACGGTTCGATGGGACTTGAGATCCTCCAGATACGAAACCCTTTGATAATTGATTTGTTGCTTTTGTGTTGTTGGGATGAGTTTGAGTCGGCATAGGTACGTGCGAAAGCACGTTGGTTAGGAGGATTCACTCGAGGGAAATTAAAAAAAATAGTGATATGAGTTTTTTTTTTTTTGGGTGACAGATATGAGTTTTGCTTATCAAGAAATATGAGTTTTTGCTTATCAAGAAAATTGACTTACATTATTTTTATTTTATAAAAAAATTGTGTTTATTAGATTGAAAGTATGTTACTGCGGATGGCAAAACAAAAAGAAAGAAAGAAAGTATGTTACTTTGGAAAATTATTTTGGAAATGCCTATATTTTTCACCAACCATATCTTTTTGTTTATTAAATCATTTAATTTTATTTTGTTAGTAATGTTAACCTTGTAATTATGCTCCGTTAACATATACGGGCTAATTGTACTGATAAAATAAAGTTAAATAACTTAATAAAGAGAGAAAAAATGTGAGTACTAAATTATAAATCGAAGAAAAGTACAGATACCTATAAAATAATTTTCTCTTATTACTTTAATTATGATTGATTTGATTATAATTAAATAAAAGAAATTGAACTATTATTTCTACTGGCGTAATGCCTAATAATTTCCATTTTAAAGACATTAGGATCTTAGGGCAAACTGATATTTCTTTAAGCTAAAGTGATGTCTTCTTTTTCTTCCTTTTTTTTTTAAAGTTACAATTAAGGTGATGTGTTTTGAAGTACAAGGGATTGGGGGGATTTCTTTTTGAATTTCTAACTACTTATTTAACATGCCAGGGTTTCTTAAATGTTTGAAATTTATATATTATAATTATATTTGTTAACTTTTATTTTTTAAAACGTTTTAACATCCCCCCTCCAAATCCAAGTGGATGGACAAAATCGAATCAGATCTGACATTGAATCAGATTTGATATCCAATGTTTCCAACTTATATGCACATGGGGGGTCCTACTAAAAGGATTGTGATTTAGGAGTTGAAAACTCATTGAGAAAATTGTGGATAAGGACTGTAGCTAAAAATTTAAATCAGAATATTATATTAAGTTTTTTATATTTATTATATCAAGTTTTTTAATCAGATATGATCATATGTTGTTGAAAAATTTGATCTAAGTATTTTTTGAATTTGAGACAATTACTATAAAGTCTAGTATAAAATTGTAATAACAAGAAATGGTTGCTTCTAATAAAAAATGGTTATTTTTAAATATAATCAAAATCAAATATTCATTTTTTTTTAAAAAAATCTGGTGTGCATGGCTGACAGGTTGGCAAAATGCTAACATGAGCCGGTTACATTTGGACAAGTTGGCGGGTTGGTCCACAAATGTTCATCTCAATCTTAAAACTACTGGCTCTGTCCAAAAAAAAAATCTTAAAACTACTGGCAATAAATTTCTTTTTCATTTTTTCTCATTACTAGCAATAAATTTTTATATACTACCTCCGGCCTTTACTATAAGGTCTCGTTTAAATTTTATTTTGGTTCTAAATATAAGATCATAATCCACTTTGTCTTTCATATTTATACAATTTTTTTTCAAGATAGTCTTTTTAATAATTGTAATTTTAACCAACACACTTGATTAGTAAGGATATTTTAGGAAAGATAATATCTATTTATTACAAATAACTAAATTAACTTATTTTCTTATTCTCCTCAAATTAGTCAACTAGCTCTTATAATTAGGACCGGAAGAAGTAGTTTCTTAGCAATTTATATGCAATTCCTTTGTAACCCCAAGCATCAATTTTTATATGATCTGTGTAATTTCTGCATTTTCGTTCTCTCCAGGGTCTAACTTAGCTTTGAAATAAGAATATGGAAGGGTTAATATAAATTTTGGTCCCTCAAATTTGCCTTCAATTTGGTTTTAATTCCTCCAATTTTAAACCATAGGTTTTGGTCCCTCAAATTTCTTTTTATTTAAAATATTACTATCTCCGGTCCTTAATATAAGACCCTGTTTGACTTTTATTTTGGCCCTAAATATAAGAACCCAATCTACTTTATCTCTCATATTTATGCATTTTTTTCCCAAGATAGTTCTTTTAATAATTGTAGTTCTAGCCAATATAGTTGATTAGTAAGGATATTTTAGGAAAGACAACACCTATTTATTACAAATAACTAACTTAATTTATTTCCTTAATCTCTTCAAATTAGTCAATTGAGTCTTATAATTAGGACCAGAGGTAGTAGTACCTAAAACCCAATAAAAACTTGCACCATTTTGCCCCTAGAGGGACCAAAACATATAGTTTGAAATTTGAGATACTAAAATCAAAATGAGAAAAAACTAAAGGGACAAAAAATTATATTAACCTGATATGGAATTTTAAATTATAAGGGTAAAGTACACGTTTGTTTTGGTTTTTTAAGATAAGTTGGGAAAAATACATATTACCTCTAGCTCTTAATATAATATCTTATTTAATTTTTATTTTGATCCTAAATATAAGATATCAATCCACTTGGTCTTTTATATTTATGTATTTTTTCCTAAAGTAGTCCTTCTAACAATAATAGTTTTAGTCAATACACTTGATTAGCAAGGATATTTTAGGAAAAACAACACTTATGTATTACAAATACTACCTCCGGTCCTAATTATAAGAGCCAGTTGACTAATTTGAGGAGATTAAGGAAGTAAGTTGAGTTAGTTATTTATCCTAAACAGGTGTTGTCTTTCCTAAAATATCCTTATTAATCAAGTATATTGACTAGAACTATCATTATTAGAAGGGCTATTTTGAAAAAAAAAGTATAAATATGAGAGACAAAGTGGATTGGGGTCTTATATTTAGAATCAAAATAAAAGTCAAACAGGGTCTTATATTGAGGACCAGAGGTAGTAATTAATTATTAAAAATAACTAACTTAATTTTTTTTTTAATCTTCTCAAATTAATCAATTAGCTCTTATAATTAGTGTTGGAGGTAGTATTTAACTCCATTAGTCTTTGGTTGTCTGGCCGTGATACTTATTTTTTTGGGATAAAGAAAGGAAATTCATGCATAACTGGCCAAAGCAGCCAATATGCTTTTAAAAACAGTTTTGTCTGATTCCAGCTTCCACTTTTTCCCGAGAGAGTTTCATTGAAAGAAAAAATTGACATATTAAATTTTTATGCGTCAGATATTAATATATGAAGTTAAATTTTTAAAATAAATTATCATTAAAATTATTAACAATGTGAAAATTAAATGACTTAAAAATATGCTGGCAAAAATATGACTTAAAAATAATTTATAAAATTAAAGAATTAAACTAAAACCTCGTATACAATTAGAGGATATTCAAATGTGCATTTTTGTTACAGAAATTTAATTAATAAAATTATTTTAGAATCTTCAACAAATTTATTTATTTTTGTTTAGGGTTAAAATTGAATCAAAATATTCTGGCAAAAATACTGGCAAAAAAATTGAATAAAAATATAAATTTTAAAAACAAATGAGACATGTCATTTATTTTAAATGTAATTTTATAATATATGAAATACGCAAATACTTTTAAACATTTCTTTTTTAACAATCAGACACCGCTTAACACTCTCTAGGGCCGCTGAACCTCCTCCGGCTGTCCAGAGAAGCTACACAAACGGAGAAGTTAGAGTCCGTTGTTGCAATTCTGGTTTGGTTGATGAGAGTTGTGAGCTTAGGATTATCAAATGACAGAGAATCCCAAGCTTACGCTGGAAACTGGCTTGGAATCTGCTGATAGGCCCTCTAAGATTGCCAAAACGGAGGATTTTAGCGACGAAGAGGAGGAGCAGAAGCCTGCAATTCACGATCCATCCATGAGCCAAAACCCCAGGATTCAACGCTATTTGGTGGCAGTTGAATATATTGGGACACGTTTCTTTGGTTCTCAGAAGCAACCCAATTGCCGCACAGTCGTCGGTGCCCTAGAGGTATGATGATTTACTTTCTCGTAACTTTTGCTGCCTCTACTATTATCTAGAAGGCAAAATGGAGCTTTCGAGTACTATCCGAATTCCGAACGTCGAGGAAAATGTGCTTTATCATTTTGGGTATACCAGAGCAGGTTTTAGGGGTTGATAAATAAGGGATAGATGCAACTTATATATTTCTTTAGGCCTAGGTGTAAGCCATTTCAGTGAAGTTAAAGGCACAAAGGCATGTCTAAGGCAGAAGAGGTCCTGGTTAGGCGACCTCATTTCCTTGATTAAGAGAGCTAAGGCAGAAGAGGTCCTGGTTAGGCGACCTCATTTCCTTGATTAAGAGAGCTAAGGCAGAAGAGGTCCTGGTTAGGCGACCTCATTTCCCTGTTAAGAGAGCTAAGGCACTCAGCTTGGGCTTCCAACCGTTTTTCAGATAATGCATTGTAATTAGCATATAATGAAGTTATGAATTTACCAATGAAGTTTTGAATTTGTTCTACGTTGATCCACTTTGCTTGCTTTCTGTTTCATTTTACCAGTGCAATGCTAAGAGTTTTAGCTCTGTTCAGCCGTACTAGATGAGTCACTTTATCTTCAGAGTCCTTCATCATTCTCAGTCAAGATGAAAGAAATATAGGCAGAGCCAGAGAGAGGGCGGAGGGGATAAGAGGGTTGAGTTTGAAGGGAATGACTAGGTGATACTAGCTGTTTAAGCATATAACTAAATTCTTGATGGGCATCCTTATATTAAAACATTAATTAGAAATGGAGGAATGGGGGATTTAAACAAGCCTTGAAGAGTTAGAGCCTAAAAATTTCATAAAAAAGAAAAGAAAGGAAAATTAAAGAATTAGTTCTACATGTTATGATTTCTGAAGTCTAGTGTGGCCACATGTTTTTTCCCCCCCTTTTTAGCTTTGGACTTAATTCTTTATACATTATTACCATACTCTGTTGACATCTTACCTTTTTTTTTTTAATGTAAAGTTCTTGCTTGAACAGTTAATTTCTAAACATCGTATATTACCACAGTCAAAATTTATTTATTCTTTACTTATATCTTGTTTTCCCTTTTCTCCCCATTAGTCAAAGTTTATACTCAGGAAACACTTTTTCAGTAATTCTTGTGGAAATTGTTGGAGCCTTATGGTATCTATCCAAGGACAAATCAAAGTTCTACATTTCAGAGGCACTTGCTTCCCTAAATATATGTATTATTTATATGTAAGAGTAAATTCAAGGAAAAAATATATATTAAAGGTCGTGCAAAATGCTTATTATCTCTGTTCTTCAAGAATAACTAATAATGCACTCTCTAGTCTCTGTGATTTTTACTCTTACAAGGTTCCTTCCTTTCTGATTTCTGTGATCATATATTATCTACAGATTGTAAGAGCTGAACTTCATAAGAAAATTGAAGTTGGTCTTTTTTCATGTGATATGGGTGGTTATGTTGAGAAATGAGAAGGAGATTGCAAATAATTTCATTATAAAGGAGATGATAGACGGGTTCCATTCAATCAAAAAAATTAAAGAGTATCATTCTTAGGCTTATATATATTGTATCACTTCCAGCATATACTTTCTTTGTATTATGCTTCCACGTCCCTTTAAGTTCTGAATCCATACACGTGCATACCCCTCACATGTTTGCTTATTGAATATTTTATGCTAATGTAAGATATTTCATGGTATTTGTAGGATGCTTTCCATAAATTTATTGGCCAGCCAGTTTCAATCTCTCTTTCAAGTCGAACTGTAAGTTGCTATATCTCGGAAACATTTTGTGTTGTATCTTTTTAGCACAAAATAAGTGGTGATGGTTTGATCAAGACAGAATAAGGCGTTATAAAATAGCTTTTTCAATAACTTATTGTAGAGAAGTTTTGCCATTTTTAGAAATGGACTTCTGTCTATTGCAAAAAGAATGCTATATCGAGTAAGCCAGCTTATAAATTTATGTTATTGTCTTATGATATTTTTATAAGAACATAAGAGCCTTCTTGGTTCTGCGTCTATTTGTATAACTGTATCATTGCTTTTGTGTGCAATATTCTGTTATGCCCTTGCACTTAGTGATATGTTATTGAATCTAGTATTTGAACATATATGTTTGTTCATTTTGCAATAACTGTAGGATGCTGGAGTACATGCCTTGTCAAATGTTTGTCATGTGGATATTGAGCGCATAAGTAAACGGAAGCCTGGTGAAGTGGTTTGTTACAAAAAAGCTCCCATCTCTGTATAAATTGACAAAGGATAGGGGACATATTTATTAGTAAAACTTATATATTTTTTTGCCTGTTTTTATGGAAGGACAGTTGCCGCCCCATGAACCAGCAGTGGTCAGGAGAGCTGTGAACCATTTCTTACAGGTGTGCTCTTCTATCGTCTTGCAAATTCTCTATTAGTTAAATTTTATGCTTCTGTCCGCATAAGTCATTCTTGATTTTGCTGTATTATGTTCAATGAACTGCAAAAGCAGTTGGGCTCTACATCTTTTTTCCCTCTTTTGAGTTCAGCTTTGGTTGTTATGTGTTAGTGGCTAGATGTTTTTGAATATTCTTCTGAAGTGTGAACAACTGAATTCAATTGATGCAAATATTCTAGAATAACGGAACGGGCACCTTAAAGATGCTTTTGGATTCCAATTGCAAGCAATGCACAAATAAATCATGGACTTGTTTCATAGCTTTATAAGGTAGTTTCTTTCATCTTATCTTGAAAACATCTCAGTCACATTGAACTTACTCTAAAGATCACTCCATTGAGCCAAAACTTGAACCATAGATGACTCGAGACTTGTTAATATTTGAAAATATGTGTTTCACTGGTCCTTATATGGTTTGTAGGCATTCCATCTACTTAAGAGAAGATGCATTCTTTGTAATAGTCTTCCATCCATGAAAATTCTTTGTTTTTTATGGTTTGGCTGCATCATTTAGAATGAGCTTAACTAAGCAACTTAAGAATGAATATTGCAAGATGGAAAAGTGAGAATGGGTTGTGTTCTTACATGACCCTGTCTATAGACTTTATTACTAACACCATATCATGCTTGAATATTTAATGTTATAATTTTGAAATACTAAATCTTGAGCTTTATTTGAATTTTTAGCTAATGTCAATTCAGTCTGTGCTATTGTCTATGCTCAGATTTCCTGAAACTTTTTCTTTCGATTTGATTTATTTTAGAAGAATGAAGGTGACATATCAGTTGTTGATGTTCGCTGTGTTCCATCTGATTTCCATGCTAGATATAAAGCACAAGAGCGTACGTAAGTACTCAATAATTTGCATTGCTTTTTCAGAACATTGACTTCTACATTTATCAACCAACAATTTCCGCTCATGAACTTTTCACATTATGTTATTACATGAAAATTATGGGCTGAAGAGTTGCTTCACCATAAAATTAGGGATTGAAAATAGTAATGTCAATGTCAAGAACATAAATGTAAGACCGATCTTGATTGCTAGTACCTGAAAAATATTCCAGGATTGCTATAGAATTGTGTTTTATTTGGTTTACATTATTCATAGTAACTGATTTTTTTTATTTCAATTTTGGGTTAGATACTTCTATCGCTCGCTGTCTGGGCCGGAGCCTTTGTCAGCCTTTGAGAAAGATCGAGCATGGCATGTACCAGAGGAACTTAATCTTCCAGCTATGCAAGTTAGTTAACACTGCACTGTATATTCTAGATTGTGAACTCAAAATTCTGATAAACTAGAGAAGTATAGATCATTTATTTACTTTTTATTGACATGCAGGAGGCATGCAGGGTTCTTGTTGGACACCATGATTTTAGTTCCTTCAGGGCTGCTGGTTGTCAGGTTGTTTTTCATATCCACCTCTGAATCCGTGCATTTAACTGAAGTATACTTGCATGCTTTACTATCATCAGTTTTCTCAAATTATGGTACTGTGGTATAGTTATGGAATTCTACTTAGTCCCAATGTCATTATCAAATAGAAATCATTATTGAGATTTTAGTAAAAATGTTTTTAGTTCAATGCCCTTATAATTCATTTTCAAAATGTTTTTATCTTCTTTATGTTTCATTACTATTCCTGTTTTCAAGCACATCATAAAATGTAAGGTCCCTTTGAGCCATCTGAAATTATGATGTATAATCACTCTATTACAGGCAAAATCACCAATTAGAACTTTAGATGAACTTACTGTCACTGAGGTAATTCCAAGTCCATATTTTCCATCTGTAATGGACAGAAAACAAAATGAAGTCAGTGATGATCCTCATGGCTATTGCTGCAAGTTTGAAACTGGCTGTCATATTTCTGTCCCAAGCATTGAAAAAGCATCCTCAAAAGAAATTTTAGGATTTGGCAAGAGGAGAAGCCATCGTTGCTTGGTGATAACAGCACGTGCGTGCTCTTTTCTTTACCATCAGGTTGGGTTGCTTCTTTCTAATTAATGCCTTTATCTTTTCTGCTTCTTTAGTACATTTATCATGTGCGAAATAATAAACGGGAGTGTCCTAAATATGTTGCCCATTGAACCAATATTACTTTTTCTCATGCTTTTGCGGAATGTTTTGGGCTTGTGAAAGGGATAACAAATGATGCAGTTGTGTGAGGATGGACTTTGGAAGACAGCTGAACATTTCGCAGAAGGGATAACATGAGAGGACCCTCCGAGAATTAATTCATTTCCTTTTTGCTCTCAAAAGTCTTAAAAGCTGAAACTGATATGGAGGATCATACTTAATTTTTTTCATCTAGAGCTAGTGTCACATGCCTTTCCTATATTATTATATTTTCTTTTTGATCTGTTTATACTTTTACTTCAATGCTTTATAATTGGTTTCCCTTGTTGAAATTGAAGAAGTCCAACTGATGAATTAAGACCCTGGACAAATATTCTTTCATACCCTGGAATTTTTTTTACTGATTCATTATATACGCTCTAGCCTGAGTGCCGATATTGTTGATACCATTGTAGGTTAGACTACTCGTCGGTGTTCTCAAAGCTGTCGGCACTGGAAGTTTGACAATTTCAGATGGTATTTCATATTAATCATCACTAGCCATGTGTGCTAATATATGCATAATTATATGCATAATCATTTCATGTATCTGGTTATTTATTTGGACTATATTATGGTCTCATGTGTTGCACTTGCATCATTGTAGTTGAAAGAATTCTGAATGCTAAAGACGTAACGGCTGCAAGTCCCATGGCCCCAGCGTGTGGTCTGTACCTTGGAGAGGTCAAATATGATCTGCCTTAGAGGCGTTTTGACAAAGTCCTGCAACTAATAGTTATGTGCAACCTGTGCATCCCTGCCTAAAATGACCCGAAGCTATAACATGCTGCATTCAAGTTTCATGATCTTCTCTTCCATCTTTCTTCAAAATTGAAGCTTTTTTGGTGATGCCAATCTTATGTAAGGGGGAGTTGGAGAAAAAGAGAGGCAAAAAAGAGTGGGGTGGGGGTGGGGGACCATGAAAATGAAAGTAAAAAAATTTTTTTGGGGGGGGGGGTGATGGTTAAATTTTTTTTTTTGGTGGTACTGTCAAGTTGAATGTAGATAAGATCTGCCTTTTCATTGACTTCGGTTACATATTATATAATTCGGTTGATGTGATTGTTTGATTATTAGACAATCTGTAGGGAGAATTCGTCTTAAGTGTTTTGTCCTTGTTTCTTTTATTGTGTTTTTGTTTTTGGAAAAATATAATCAAGTATATCCGCAGCCCAAAAAAGGATCAATTTAGTAGCATTTGAATATCAAATCAAATGTTTAATGAAAAATAATGCTTTTATTCAATTTTATAATTTGGTCCTATTGGTTTGAGTCAATACTATTAAATCTTCATTATTGATGATAAAAACTAATTATAAACACTTGAAAGAACATAAATATTTTTTCCAACTACTTGATTATAAGTATAAAGACTAATTTAAAATTTGACTCCAACAAGATAAGCATAAAAGGTTTAGTAATAATGTATTAACTTGTGTTAAATAATATTATCATAAATCGAGAATGACCCTAAATGTGAGTAAGTGGATGTGTTTTTTTGGTTTTAGCTTAAAAGGTGAGACTTTAATTCGATTTGTTTTCCAAGTGATCTTTATTAAGTGGATTTATATGAAGGGAGTTTAGTTTCTAAAGCAACTGATTAAAGAAGTATTTTAGAAAATTAACACCTGTCTTATAATTACCCCAGTGGCACATATACGCCACCCAAGAGATTTCATCGCTGCCCGTAAGCAATATGCTTGCCAAATTAAAAAAAAAAAAAAAACTCAAGGGGTGATTTATTATTTGAACTTAATATACTCAACAAAATCCATAATTGTGTACATTACTTCCAAGTTTAAAACTTGTTAATCCAAGCTGAACAATCCACCTACTTAGCCTCCTCCATCCCACCCCATACGCCACTCAATGCATTCCCATAACGACCAAACCCAAACACGCCTTTTGTTTTATTTTATTTTATTTATTTTTTGTGTGGTCAATCAAAAAATGTCTTTCTTAAACAATTTACATATCCTTGTTGACCCGAGTTCATCCTTACAGAAACTTCTCTCCTGGGAACAAGGAAGCTCCATGGAAATAACATTTTTCCCCTTAAGACAAGCAATCACCCATATAAGCTAACCCCTCATTTATATATATTTGTGTATGTATATCTATGCATACACGCAGACACTTTCAGACACAAACATTCACAATCGAAATTTTCAAACATCATTGCAACACAAGAAGATGTCTGTTAGGCAACGACCTATAACCACCAAGCAACCGTCCACGTCTGAGGATTCGTCCTCCGAGGCAGCTGCCTTGGTGTCGCCGGAAAAATTGCAGCCACCTCCGACTCCGTCGTCAACTTCTCGGCCCCAGCAAGCTCAAGGAGCAATCTCTAGAACCCTGACCAGCACGGCCAACTTGGCCAACTTGCTTCCTACGGGGACCCTCTTGGCCTTCCAGATCCTCACGCCGATCTTCACCAGCAATGGCACCTGCAACGACACCACCCGCCTCCTCACCGTCTCTCTCCTCGCCGTCCTTGCCGTCTCGTGCTTCCTCGCCAGCTTCACCGATAGCGTGGAGGTTAACGGGAAGGTGTACCACGGGCTGGCCACCTTCAAAGGTATGTGGCTGTTCGACTACCCGGTTGACGCGTCCGGGTCGGATCTTCCAGACATGAGCAAGAAGAAAGTGAGGTTGCTGGATTTCATACACGCGGTTTTATCCCTGGCGGTGTTCGTGGCGGTGGCAATGAGGGACAGGAATGTGGTGAGCTGTCTGTATCCGTCGCCGGCAGTTGAAACGAAGCAAGTATTGGACATTGTTCCGGTGGGGATCGGACTGATTTGCAGCTTGTTGTTCGTAGTTTTTCCGACCACCAGGCATGGAGTTGGATACCCAGTTACGCCAAGCAATTGATTTGATTGGTTTTTTTTTTTGTCAGCCTTTTTGAATCAAAAGTCAGTCTTTGGTTGACGAAGACGAAGTTTGATTAAAAGTACCATTGGGTTTTTCTTAATCTTCCGAGATCTTCACACTGTTGTTAAATTATCTAACTGGCTGCAGTATGTTCTTTTTTTCTGGGAAGAATCATCCTTCCAGTTGATTAATTATAATTTGTTAATTACTTACAGTTCCATATTGATAGCTTGAAACGTGTCTTTTTTTTTTAAAGGGACTAAAGGGGTGTTTGGGTGACTCCAAAATCATTTTTTATAAGTATTTTTTATAAGTCAAGACAACCACTTCTACATATTCATTTCATATATCAAAAAAATAATTTTAAAATTATAATTTTATTTCTATCTAAACATCTTTATACAGGTGTCTTGGTTTATTGGGAGAAGATGTACAACTAGCTGGTGTACAGATTCTGGAATGACTTTAATATAAGAAATTGAATAATAAATTCAATGTATTAATAATTATTTTGAATTGGATTTTATTTTTGAGCATATAGAAATAATTTAGGTAATCCGTAAATATACATATATGCTATGTAGAAACAGTTCTAGATCGGCGGGCAAATAGATAATAATTAAATAAAATAATTATATTGTCAATAATGTAATAATGCAACATTATGTGAAGAATTCAATGAAATAACATGATATGGGTTTGGCAGAAAAACATCAAATGGTAAATGGTCTAAATACATTGAGTTTTTTTTGGAGGGTCAATATCTTTTTAAATTTTTATAATTTTCAGATTTTTCTGTATTTCTTTTATATTCCCCCATTATTCTTACCCTTTGTTCTATTGTTGACTATTGTTAGATAATTCTACCAGTATATATATTCTATGCTCTTACCATTTACTATTCTTTTATCTCACAGTTGTAATAAATTTAGATATAATAATTTTAGTTTTCAAGAAAATAATTTTTCTTAATTTATTTATTCATATATTTTAAGTATAAAATCAAAAAATTCATATACGCCATAGTAATTTAATATGTATGGTTTCCGCAAATTGATTTATTTAAAAATTAATTTACTATTTCAACATCAATTAATTTTTGCGAAGAATCATTCTTCACGTGGTTATGTTTTACAAATGTGTGCATTATTTGACGAGGTATGCCAACATGACATGATTATTTGTTCACAAGAATGGTATGGCTGTCTTGTTCTTTTAAAATATTTTTCCCACCTAAACTTGTTTTCTTTTATTAGTTGATTTGAAGGAATCCGATGAAATTTATAATTTTTTTTAAATAAGAGCAACTTATAGATATTGGTGGAGTCAATTATAATATTAGATTCTAGATTTATGTTCTTTAATTTCACTTGGAATTTTCAACTAATAAAATAATTTTTCTGGTTGAATACTTCAATTTAATTTAGTGAATATTTATAGAAGCAGTTTTTTGATTTTGATTGTTGTATCTTTTTAGAACCGAAATTTATTTTTTCTTTTCGTTTTTCCGTTTTTAATATAAAACACATTTAGCAAGGCAAATAGGGTATTTTTGTCACCAAATTTTAAAGGTAAGGCTAAAGTGTATATGTGTATACTAAAATTAAAGAAAAATTATATAACTTTGAAAAATTCGTGAAAATTTTTACATAATTCCATTAACATTCTATTTATAATTTTTTTTATCAATTTATCATTTATTTTATTCAAGTATAACTATATTCAAGGAAAAGACTTATTAGTTTAAATATAAATAAAAATAGATTGAAAATATTTTTCCGCATGTTCAAATTTAAACACACTATATTGAGCTTCTTAATTTAAGAATTTGCTTATGAACTGCAGGATATAAGTTAATGGGAATTAAAAAATTGAGATGTGAATGAACATATTATATTTAATTATATATAGAGAAAATAACAAAAAAAAGAAGCTGAAAATTACTAGACATCAAATAAAGAATATCAACAAAAATTTATTATCATTTGTAAATTCAGTATTATCAATACCAAATAAAGTATTATTACCAAATCTGGCTTGGGATTTAGTAATTTTTAACTTTATTTTTTTAAATCATTTTTCCTTGTATATATTTCACCCAAATAAATAAATAGAGGGGGGAAAACAAAGGTAAAGTAATTAATAATATTAAATGTACTTGTTGAATAAGGCATGGAAGCTCATCCAATAAAGCAAGTTAAGAGTAATTTAAGAGACAGCCAAAAAAAATTTAAAAATAAATAAAAAGGAAAGTGACGTACACGTATTTACTAGAAATTAAATGTTTCCCATTTGTGTTGGGTTTGCTTTTCTACGTTCACTTGACTGCATTTTAAGCCTTCATCTAATTTCTCAGCCTATGCTTTTATCTGCCTTAACATATAAGTCACGCCATGAACCCCCCCCCTTCTGCGTCAAACTTACACTAAAAACGTTCGATATTTGAATTATACATTGGATCACTAAAACTTTATGAAAATAAGCTAATATTGCTTATATGTACACATACTGACATACATATTACTTCTCCGGTGTTTAACGTAAAACTTAATTTGAAGTAAGATCTGTTTCAAATATTTAAATTTTTTTTTAAATTAACATTATTGATATTCTTTCAATAATAATCAAGTAGAAGAGAAATGATAAAATTAAAGATGTTTCAGGTAACTTAGACAAAAATGCTACCTCCGGTCCTAATATAGACCCAGTTGACTAATTTGAGGATATTAAGGAAAGAAGTTAAGTTAGTTATTTGTAATAAATAGGTATTGTCTTTCCTAAAATATCCTTACTAATCAACTATATTGGTTAGGACTACAGTCATTAGAAGAACTATCTTGGAAAAAAATGCATAAATATGAGAGACAAAGTTGATTGGGATCTTATATTTAGGATCAAAATAAAAGTAAAAAAGGATCTTATATTAAGGACCGGAGGTAGTATCATATTAACTAATGTAACTAACATCTTTAATCTACTCAAAATAGTTAATTAGGTTTTAGATTAAGGATTGAATGAGTATTTGAATTTATGTCATACTATATCAAACTAAAACGTAACATATAATATAAGTCACTTTTTTTTTTTTAAACATTAAACGGTGAGTGCGCTGGTGTCTTTTTGTCTTTTTTTTTCCCCCCACAATGACTTCTTGGGCTTCTGATCATGTTTGGTTTTCTTCACACGTAGGCCCACAAAATCCTTTGGTAGGCACGTGAAAAAGAATGAAAAGAGAAAATAAGGAATACATCTAGAAAGGAATAGGGAAGGCGCATTGGTTAGTTTCTTTCTAAAAATACTTTTCTATGTACTAAACATTGTATAAATGTAAATTCACCTTGTAGCTTGACAAATTTTTTTGACAGTCTCCTATGTGTTTTTTTTTTAATTAAATAGACAGACACTAATAGCATGAAGTTACAAATGAGATAGAATTCATGTCCTCCCATTTACAGAAGAGTTTTTATGCTACTCTTCCGGTCTTTAATATAAGATCTATTTAACTAATTTGATTAGATTAAGGAAGTTAGGTAAATTAGTTAATTATAAGAAATGTGACATGTTTTTCCTAAAATACCATAATCATCTTTCTTAATACCTCCTATTCCTCTTCTATTTGATTATGGTTAAAGGAGTGTCCATAAGGATAATTTAGAGAAAATTGATAAATATGAAAAATAAGTCTTATATTTAGGACCAAAACCAACTCAAAAATTGGGTCTTATATTAAAGACTGGAGGAGTATTAAGTTATACAGTAGCCTAACAATCTATTAGTCATCCATATCCTTCTTTTCATCTTCACCATGTACTCTCATATGCACCAATCTTCTCCTCAAATTAAAGTGATTTTTTTTTTTTTTTTTAGCGAGAAACCATTTTGGAGCCCCCGAGAAAGCCTCATCTATTATCAATTTCATTATTTCCCTTCACTTCATTGGCTTATTATTTATGTTTGTCCTAAACAGAACAGAACTTGACCTACTTTTTTTCCGTTACTAAGCTCAATTGGAATTAGTACCTCTGGTCTTAATTATAAGATATTATTTATAAACTGTAAACGAGGTCTTATAACTAGGGCTAGAGTTATTACTTGTTCTCGGCAATTTACAGAGCACGGTCAATGTAATGCATGGTCATCTTCATCAACTGATCATACACATTTGGGGGGGGGGGGAATTATATCTGTACATTACCAAGAAAGATTACCAATACATAATAAAATGCTGAACTGCTAAGTCTCTCTCTCTCTCTCTCTCTCTATATATATAATATAACAGGCCCATTCAAGCATATAATTAATATTTAACCAAAAAAAAAAAGGACACAAATTGATGAGACACGTAACTAGCTACCTATTGGAATAAACAGGGCATGACGAGCTGATCAGCCGTGAACTCGCCGGAGCTACTGGCAGTAGAGTGATGAATTTGGCTGGTCGTCGACGAGAACAACAGACTTTTGCTTAATAAACTCGATACAATCTGCGACGGCTTCACTATGGTGAGGGTCATTTAAGCGGTAGCAGCAAGGGTGGTGTTTTCGTTTGTCCTCCGTCGCCACCACCCCCAGAGCCGCCTTGATCGCCGGTGGTCTTTGAAAGAGCGGAACATCATCAAACGGAGCACAGCCTCTCGGAAAACGCTCTAACAAGGTCATCGGAGACGACGGCGAACTTCTATTCTTGGAGTAACTGTGACTCTTCATCCTGGGAATACATTGACCCTTCATTATCATTTCTTCTCGGGTTTTGATCCCTGCCTTCTCTTCTTCTACTCTTTGTTTGATCTGATTGTGATCAGAGACGCCTATATTTATAAGAGAATCTATGACACACAGACAATTATTCATATATATATATATATAATATATAATATGTATATTTGTTGGGTTGGATTAGGAGGGACAAGTCCATGCATGGGCTGGCTGTGCATGTGGGGAAGCCAATATTTTTAAGGTGGATTCTATTTTATAATTCATATCAATTATATCTTAATATTCTCATGTGAGTGACGGCGACACGAATGTATTAATTAAGACTAAGAGTTAATTTGGGACATTGAATGATGAACTACAATTAACTGAGCTCAAACTGATCATCTTAAAGTTGACCCATTTATGAGAGTTGAAATAATTCAAATTAATCACCTGTCTTTAATTTTAATAAGTCCTTTTCCAGATTTGTCTGCTTTTGGTCCCGATTAGTTTTCTTCATCGACATGCCTGTGTGGCCTTATTAACTGAACGCATAGCATG